TTATTTAATTTCAGTGAACCTGTAAACATGTGACAACAGTATGCCAAATCAGTCACAGGGGAGGTGAGGTGGAACCCACAAGGACACACCATCTGATAAATAAGTAAGCACATCAACCACAAGTGCAAGTGCATGAGCAGCTTTATTGCAAACATAGAGCAATCTCATAATAACAAACACAAAGTGTCACCCATCCATCACAGCCCCTAAAACAGCAGAGGGGATGGTGGAAGCAGGCAAATTCAGCCTGTAAAACTTGGCTCCAAAGGCGCACCTCTGAACAGTGCCCGAGATGCAGCCATTCCCCGTGTAGAGTGAGCAACCACTCCATGAGGGGGAGGCTTCCCTGCCTGATTATAAGCCATCGCAATGAGATCGACTATCCAGTGGGCCAGTTGCTGTTTTGTAACAGGCCTGCCCAATGTGGATGTGCCATAGCTCAAAAAAGGTTGTCCACTGAGCGAAGCAAGCTGGTACGAGCCACATAAACCTTTAGGGCCCTTACGGGACACAGTGCATGCAGCCTCTCAGCATCCTCAGAAGAGTGTGGTGGAGGATAGAAGAACTCCAAGACCAAAGGCTTAGCCACATAATTCCTAGGCAACACCTTGTGTAGGAAGGCGGGGTTCGGCAGGAGATGAACCACCTCATTCTCGTCCCCAAAACGCAGGCACCCTGTCCCAACGGAAAGAGCAGCAAGCTCCCCCACTTGCTTAGCCGATGATATGGCAAGTAGAAAGAGCGTTTTTAAACTCAGGACCTGCAGGTCCAGGTCAGACAAAGGCTCAAAAGGAGGCAGGCAAAGTGCCTCGAGGACTACCTGCAGATCCCAAGATGGGAGCAAAGGACATCTGGAATTGCAACGCCTCCTAACACCTTTCAAAAACTGTGTTGCAAGAGGATGCGACCCAGGGGTGAGCCCATCACACTGCTCATGAGCCATAGAAATGGCAGCAAGAATCTTGCTGCAAGATATCCACGTAAAGTGGATTCCGAGTGCCCCTGATCCAAAAGGTGCTGAAGGAAGGACAACACCATAGTCCTGTCACAGGACACAGGGTCTACACCAGTCCTGTGGCACCACCCAGCAAACACGCTCCACCTACACCCGTAGAGATGTTGGATGGACTGTGCCCATGCGGCCTGTAAGGTGTCAACAACAGCCCTGCTCAGCCCAAGAGCATGCCAGCGCTGCCGTTCAAGGGCCATACATGAAGATTCAGGACTTTGGGCCGAGGGTGCCAGATCTTGCCCTGTCCCTGGGACAGCAAGTCCTTTCTGGTTGGGAGGCGCCACGGTTCCCCGTCCAGCATCTCGTACACCTCGGACATCCAGGGTCTCTGCGGCCAGTTCGGTGCCACTAAGAGAACTCGTGCCTGGAACAACCTCACCCTGCCAAGCAGAGCTGGAAGGAGAGGCAGTGGAGGAAAAGCATAAAGCACCCCTGGAGGCCAGTTCTGGCTCAGGGCATGTACCCCCAGTGGTCCTGGTAGGCTGTTCATCGAAAACCACAGGGGACAATGAGTGTTGTCCTCTGTCGCAAATAGATCCACTGAGGCGTGACCAAAGCGGCACCATATTTGATCCACCACCTGGGGGTGTAAGCGCCACTCGCCGGGATGAGGAGCGCCTCTGGACAGCAGATCTGCTGCAACATTGAGGAAGGCTCTCAGAGACATGTCCACTGACTGGGTCAACAGAAGGAGCTGGCATGCTCTGGCATACAAAGACGGAGACTTCCGACCACCCTGATGATTGATGTAAGACACCACTGCAGTGTTGTCCGTTCGTACCATCACCTGCTTGCCCCTCACCACTGGGAGGAAGTGCTGCAGTGCCAAACGAACAGCTTCCTCGAGGAGATTGATGTGCCAACTCCGTCGTACAGAGTCCCAAGTCCCTCGGGCAGTCCTGCCTTCGCACACAGCTCCCCAACCCATCTGGGATGCATCTGCAGTTATAGTGACTCGGGCTGCCCCAATGAAAGTTTGAGGAGACCGTGACAGGCCAAATGGGAGCACATTGTACTCGTAAGCTACAACGACGATGACCCGGATGAATGGGCACATGAAAATAAGCATTGCGTAGGTCCACAGTTGTGAACCAGTCGCCTGCTTGAATGGCCTGAAATAATGCTTTCAGTTTGAGCATCCTGAACGGAAGAACCTTGAGGTACTTGTTTAACCTCCTCAGGTCGAGAATGGGGCGGAAACCACCTGTGCGCTTTGGGACAAGGAAATACGGGGAGTAGAACCCCTGATTTCCCTCCCGTGGATCCAGTGGACGTATAGCCTTTTTGGAGAGTAAGGCCGAGATCTCGCTGGCAAGCACTCCTGAAAGAGTCTTGTCTCCCACTTTTGTCCATAAAATGCCCTGAAAGCGTGGAGGCGGAATTGCAGACGGTAGCCGCACTCTAGGGTCTTTAGCACCCATGGGCATGAAGTGCACTGGCGCCAAGCACTGAGATGGGTGCTTGAAAAACTTGACGCCAGCCGAAGTGTATAGTCAGGAACGCTGGGCAGACTTGGGCGGACCCCGTGCACCACGCTCCCGAGAATGAGTACGGACCCTCTGTCGGCCCATTCGGGGAACAAAGGCCTGTCTACCACCTCCAGAATCCTGTGAGGAACCTTGACCCACTGACTGAGGTCTTTGTGTTCCAGTATGTCTCTCTGGGGCCATCCGAGGACGTGACCTCAAGAGCCCCTGATTGCGCATGGTTCGACTGCGCATTCGCACCTTTTGGGCTTCATCCAAGGCTGCCTCTGCAGCCGCACCAAACACATGACCAGGCGAAATGCTGGCCCCCAAAACAGCAGCATGTTCTGCCTCTGACAAGGCCGTTTGCCTCAACCAAATGTGGCGCCTGGCCATGGTGAGATGGGCCAAGGAGTTACCCAGGACCTTGGCCTGAGCACTTGCTCCCTGAATCACCGTATCCATGATGTTAGTCATTGCAGGCATGAGCTCAGATGGGCTCTTAGAATCCAGATCTCGGATCAGGCCCTCCAGATACAAAAGAAGTAGAGCACTGGTGTTTGCCAGTCTAGCAGCCATGGCAGTAGACTGATAGGCTTTCGCCACAAAGCCATCAGTAACCCTGCACTTCTTATTGGGATGACGGGCGACCCGGCCTGAAGGGGATGCCCCAGCCAGGAGTGCAAATGAAGGTCCCACCTGTAGGGTCCCATCCAACCCAAGCTCAGCAGCACTGTGAAGCACACTTAGTGCAGAGCGGGGAAGTAAAGCTTCTCTTGGCCGAGCCCAAGACTCTTGGAGACGGAAAACAAAATCCAAATAGACGGGCAAAAGGGCATAGCCCTGGCGGCCCGAACCCCGATCTAATGCAGAAGCCTTCGGTGGAGATGAAGGAGCAGGAAGACCTGCAGCAGTGGCCGCTTTTGTAAGCAGGGCTTACAGTCACCCATCTCAGATGACGGCCCTTCTCCAGCAACATCATCCAACATAACCTGCTCCTCCTCGTAACCGTCCAACAAAGAAGAGGAGCCGCAGCCTGAGCTGCCGGTCTTACCCAAGTTACCCGAAGCAGCCAGTGAAACGGCATCAGGAGGGGAAACCCATGCAGAGGGGCTTCTCCAGCAGCCGCTGTTGTGTAGCAGCCATGGTTTCCATGGTCTTACGCATAGCCTCCAGTTGTTTCTGGAGATGATCCACCCTGGGGTCATAAACGTGGTCATGTGCCCGTTTACCACCAGACTTCCGCGCCGCTTTACGGGGGGGAGGGGAGTCCACCTCCTGACCAGGTGGCAGTGTCTCCATAACAGTAACACAGTCCATGTGGTCACTATCCACCCCCGAAGCTATTTCAACACAGGAGATTCACTAGAGGAGAAAGAAAAACGTCCCCGAAAATAGAATGAAGTCCCCTGTAGCACAAACAAATGAAAAAGAAGTTTATGTGCACGTATATTATATCATAATATAATAATATAGAAAAATACAAGCACTAAGGAGAGCAGACCTCAGCAGAAAGCTGCAATATCTCTCCAAGCCAGGAGGCGCTCTCACGGCACTACAAACAGAGCCAAGTTAGCATAACAAATGCACAAACGGCTAGATAGCAAAGTTTGCAACCGGCAAACGGGAGCGATACACTCACCAAACTGTAACAAAATTGATACGGAACGCCAGAGGGGTACTACAACAAGGAGCAGCCCAAATCAGCGATGATCTGTGAACAAAACGGCGAAAATCTCAAGCCGCGCGGCATAAGCTCTCAACGACCAGGAGGATAGAAAGAGGGTGAGTGTGTGCACGCGCGTCATTCATATAGGTGTAGCGCGCACCCACAGGTGTGTTTAATTTGGCATAATGCTCCTGACCCGAGGGTTGTAGTCACATGGTTACAGGTTCACTGAAATGAAATAGAACTTCTTCTAATGCGAGCATCAAACAGGCATGCTTTTCACCTCACTTCAGCCTAATAAATAAATGTATTATTAGTGTAGTAGTTGCACACCATTACAAGACTCATGTGTTAAATTAAAAGTTTTTTTTACACTGATTAATAATAGGATATAAAGATCAAATTATCAATCAAGACAAGAAGATGCCACCATGTAGAGATCGACAGATATGGCTTTTTTCATGGCCAATACTGATTATTTAGAATCCAGAGGAACCAGTGGTCGATAAGCTCTGTTGATATTTTTGGGCTGATGTATAGGGTTGATTTTGATATTTTTTCCCAAATTATGTGATTTAAATATGGTACAAACTCACCTATAGCCCTTTTTTACCATAAGCCTTTACCAGAGTTGTCTAGCTACATTCTGTAAAATTATCTTTTTGCATTTAACGGTTCAAATAAAGGTTTGTCTGTACTCTTTAGGCTCCAGGTCGGCCAAAACTAAATAAAGGCCTCTGTTAGAGATTTAAGACCAATTGCTGATACATTTAACTGCAAATATCAGCCTGTCTATCTACTGCTGTGCATTCCTTATCCTGTCCTATATTAAAAGTCATTCTGTCTTTTCAAGGTTTGTCCGTGTCTAGTCCCAGGACAGAGGAGGAGGAGCGATGGGGAGGCAGGAGACTACTACAGGAAGCGGACAACACCAGCTTGGATTCTCTGGAGGACGAGGGACCTAAAAACTGCACCGCTCCAGGTAAAGAACCAGTATATGGCCCCTTCTCGCCCCCTTCTCCCCGCTCGCTCCCCCTCTTCCCATACTACTGCCACTGTCCCACATGCAACACACAGAGAGCATGAAATAACTTCTAAGCTGGGTAACAAATGAACATGCCACAAGTTCCTATACCCTTTAGATCTCACCCCCGTGCTTCATCGCTTATATGGGCTAACCTAGATTGCGTCGGGGTCAGGTGATTTCCCAGAATGCAACAGTGAGGGCTGACATTCTGGCTGCATCAGCAATTCTCACTCATGTTCCTTTAAGGGTCTTGCAGTTTCTTTCTGTTCAAATTCTGTCTCAAGGTGTCAAGGCATGGTCGAATGCTCATTTAGAGTTGATTCATTTGTGTAGAATACACTGTGATTTAGTTTTTGTGATTAACATAAGCGTTAACCTACTTTTGTTCTGATTTAGCCCTAAACTAGAGTTATTCTTGGTTCAGCCTCTTGTTTGGTCTTGTGCATCAGACCTGAATTGATACTTTGCAGCTGATGTCACCAACATTGCCTGTGGGTGTGATGCTAACTTTAAGCACTGCTCTGTCAGAAGCTCTGATACTCAAGTTAGATTTTAATCTGAGCTTTGTTTTAACACAATCTGATCATAAAGAGCTGACACTACAGCACATGAGGTGATTTGTACTATTAAACAGGTCCCTCTCAAATAACATAACAGTCATAAGCACACATTACAATAAAGACATCAAAAGTGACAATAATGTCAATAATAATAATGATACTTATTGGGATGTCTCTTATTATTGTGTCACTGACACATGGTTGTTTAAACCAGTTTGCAGTTGTTTTAATGAAGATATGTTGTACTTGTTATAATCTATGACACCCATGTTCCTTATGTTGTATTCTGGATTTTTTAAAGAAGATATATCGTGTTTTTGTCCACTGTATATTTTTAATCTATAACACCCATGCATCATTGTTATTGTTTGGATATTTTATGGGCCTATGATGTGGGCCTTTTGAATGGATAGCTGCAGTGAAGCGCAGTGGGCGTAGAGGTGAAAATAGAGGTAAATCGGAGATATGACATCTTGAATGCAGGAAAGTAAAGACTACATAAACATGAATCACTCTAAATGAAGCTTAATTGTTTGTGGGTAAATGAAAATGGAAAACAGTTATAACATGGTTGAAAGCTCCTAAACGTCAACATACAATATGTCTCCTTTAAAACAAGGTCACTGCTCGTTTGGTTTTGGTTTAAATGGTTATGCTTTGTCTTGATTCAGACATTGGTTTAGTCTTGGTTGAGATCCGGTTTATGAGCCAGTGCCTATTGAAAAAGCTGGGCTATAAACCTATAAAGAAATGTGTTGGATCAGTGGGACTAAAATACACCAGGTTAAATTATGGCTTGTCTAGTCTGGTTTACTCCAACATTAATCCATTGCAGTGGCATATACCAACCCAGGAGGTTCAGAGTTGGTACTTGGTCATATGTATAGAAAAAAAAAATCATCTGTTTCCATGGCAACCTTTTGTCTTATATTGCCAGTGCATTTTGAGTTTGAAAAAGACATATTGTGCAGCGGCGTTGTGTGGAGAACTGCTGTGAAAAGTGTAGAGCTATTATTTTGAGTCCTAAAAAAGTGTGTGTTATTAAAAACTGTTGTCGTACGAGTGGACTGCTTATTCTGAGAACAAGAGCATCTGATGTTCTTTTAAAATCGAATAAATTGTAAATAGATTAGTGCTGTCAAAATATTAAAAATATATGTAAAAAAAGATTAAACAATGTCAAATAAACCACCAGTAGCTTCCCTACCACCAAATAAGAGCCACTACATGTATGTGACTCAACTGAAAACATTTACATTTGTCTTTCTACCTGAGCATGTCCCTGATTGGCTGCTCTTCTCAAATAGGGGGTGGTACAATTCTCTGGTGATCTCATTAAGTAAAATGACTGTCATCAATCTCTCTCCCAAGGTCACTCTGTCATCTATAAAAGGCTCTGAGGTCAAAGTTCAACCCATCTCATCCTCTGCTGCTTATTATACAGTTGCAGCCCTTTTTGTCTCTGGCTAAATTTAAAACTCCTGCCCCTGTACCTGCCCTCTTGAGATTTGGGTGGTTCTTGCAAAATAACTTAATAGATGATGGATTTTAGGAGGACTGGGTATGATTATAATTGACTTTTGGGGTCTGATTGTCATGGGCATGTTATTACCTGTAATGTCCAACAGGCATTAACTCTGAATTTATTCCATTCAATATGTGTGAAAAATCCCTCAGATGAAAAATCCTTCAGTCGTGAAGGTAGAATCTGTGGCAAAAGGAACTGAAGAAGCAGCTACAAAACGTATTCAACTAAGTAAACTTTTGTCCAGTTAACAAATTGAATTTCTTCTTTTGCCATCCATTCAATATGCAAACCTTTAGATCGGTTAATTGCTTCTCAGATCTAGCCTGTTTGTGTCCATGGAGACAGATATATTTAATTCAATTCTGTGGGACATTCCAAGCAAAACACTGAAAAGGTGGCAGACACTATCCTCCCAAAAAGTTGCATGAATGTTGCTTCTTTAAAGGGCCTACATTCTGCTATTTTCTGATCTTTGTTATAATGTTGTTTCCTCATCACCAACATAACTGGATAGGTATGTAATAAGGTAACAACATTCTAAGATGGCTAAAAGTTTACAAGAACATTTTTACTTGGAATTCTACACCCTTTTGGATTAAACACAATTATAGTGCCTCTGCTTGTTAGTATTTCTTAAACATGACCAATTACAAAGTCTGACTAAAACTGACATGCTTATAAACTGGTGAAATTTGTGGTACTTGCTGATTGGATACGTTGCAAAAGTGTACCTCCGGTGGAGATTTTGTGCGTTGCGTTCCGGCTGCCCTTTGTAAACTGTTTTAATCAGGTGTGAGAGTGAAGGGAGATGGTCCATCTGCGCCGCGGGTAGCACCTAAGTTTAGTCCACTCTGTTTAGTCCTATTTATAAAGACAGAGAAGAGGAAGATATAAGTTCCTCTGGAGTCTGACAAACTAAATGTCAAAGCCCTCCAGGAATGTCGCCATATTTACAGCTGCTGACATTTACTTCCAAATAATTGTTGTTATTTTGGTTCTAGCAAAACTAAAATGTCTTCTTCTTTTCCTCTGCTTTAGTCGTTGCATCCCCCCATCTTACTCTGGATTGTATAATCTCGGTTAGGGCTGCACAATTTATGGCAATGAAACTAAAATCACAATGAGTAAGTGTCCAACGCCTTATCTTTAAATATGTAGTCAGTTTAGCATGACTCATCAATAAACCCATAGATACTCAATTGGACAGGAAGTAGTGACGCTAACAGTGTGGATGCTGGGTGCTAATGTGCACAGAGCCTATTGTTTATATAATAGTACACAATCAGTGTTGGGAGTAACGCGTTATAAAAGTAACGAATTACAGTAATGCATTGCTTTTTGCTGTAACGCAGTAATGTAAGGCATTACAGGGGAAAAAATTGTAATATTTTACTCGGTACAAATGTGAGTAACGCGCGTTACAATGCTTTTTTAACCTGGATCGAAGTGGTGTGTTTTTCTTCATACAAATTCGCTAAAATCACCGCGATATCAGCAGCGGGGAAACACCGGAGACGTGGCCGAGTAGACCTTCAGGTAACCGTGGGGAAAGGACCGACACAGAACTCTATGCTGTTTAGACCTGGCTTAGACCTGGGTCAGTTCTGGTTTAGACCTGGTTTACAGTTGTCCGAAGTGCTGTATGTTTGCAAGTTTTCTCTCCGACAAAACCCACAATGTCGACAAAACGTTCTGCACTGAGAAAGGCTCCTGCGCTCGCACCCAAAAGGCAGAGGAAGATGCTCACTATCGCACAAAAAGTTGGACTTCTGGACACGCTGAAGGAAGGTAGAAGTTACGTGCTGTAGCAGAGTCTTACACCGAGTCGGGTACCCGCAAATAGTTGCTGAAATCAGGGCCGCGAGCCCGCGGAGCACGGTGTCCATAAAGAGCGATCGGGTGACAGCCGCTCTTCCCTCTGTGAGGTGCGGAGCAGAGCCGCTCCTTTCTCCTGCGGTCACCTTCGAGCCCGTCCCTACAGTGAGTCCTGTTTTAGTCCTAGTTCAGTTCTGGTTTAGTCCTGGTTTTGTTCTGGTTTAGTTCTGGTTTAGTCCTGTTTTAGTCCTAGTTCAGTCCTGGTTTAGTTCTCCTCTTCAGTCCTGGAATCAGTCCGAGGTTAGTCCTGTTATAGTCCTGGTTCAGTCCTGGTTCAGCTCTGGTTTAGTCCTGGTTTAGACCTGGTTTAGACCTGGTTTAGTCCTGGTTCAGTCCATATACTTCGCAGTTATTTTGGTGAGAGTAACTTAAAGTAATGCAATAGTAATGTAATGCCTTACATTTTAAATGCAGTAATATTGTAATGTAACGAATTACTTTGAAATGACAGTAATAAGTAATAAATAACGCATTACGTTTTTAAAGTAACTTGCCCAACAGTGTACACAATACAGTACTGAAAAGTGGCATAGTGTTCCTTTGAAGGTGTGTGGGGTCTGCCACCTGCTCCATGAGATGTTATGATGAACCATTGTTTTGCACGTGTTGAACAGTTAATCTTATTAATCTTACATTTATTTGATTACAGGTGTTTTAATACCCAAATACATTAGGGATGCAGCAGTTGATACCAGAGAGGGCAACTGCATTCCAGGTGTGCATGTATCATATTTACTTAAATTATGTTTCGTGATTCATATGTCAGATGATATAAATACAGTAATAAACATGGGCGGTAACTGGACATATGAGGAGCAATGTGAAGGTCTAAGAGGTATCCACACTCCAAACTCCACCCCTGCAGCCAGAACCCTGCACCTGTGTCCTGTGTGATATCGATATCACATAGTTCTTAAAATCGCAGTGGTCACTGGAGGCAATGTGTACCGTGTGTATACATTTATGGCTACCTGGCTGAAACACTGAGCAGT